AGACAGTCGTCGATGTCGCAAGAGCGACGGCTTTGCCGCCTGAACTGGGTTGAGCTGAGTCGGTGGGCGACGGAGCGAAGGGAAGGTGGAAGAGGCCAACGATCTTCCTGTCCGAGTCTGTACCGTGGGAAGTTGGCGTGCTAGCCGATGGAGGAGAGCCGGAGAGAGTTGAGGGGCTCAGCTCGCTCAGAACGGTGCTGCTAGGGTCGAGGCTGATCCGGTCCATGCAGCGGGAACGCGATGCTGATGCAGGCGGAACCCCCCGAACCGCCGAACCGCCGACTCGGACGGACTCAGACGGACTCAATGCCACTCTGCGGTGTCTCGTGGCTGTTTCCGCTCTTGCTTGAGGACGTGCTCGAGATTTCTGCAGACAAGAAAGACCGATGAGGGTTGCGATAGGTCAGCTGGGTCTGCTTCTGGTGCTGTCACGCCTTGGCACACTTGGCGGCTGCTTGGCGTGCTTCGGTCGCTTCCCGAAACAGAGCCTCGAAGGCGACGTGAGAGGCAGGGGCTCGGATCTGGGTGCGAGCGGAAGCTTGCCGTCTCGACGAGGCGAGGGCAGAGAAGTGCAAGCTCAAGCTCCGAGCCTGGCTCGCTCGCTTGCCGAAAAATCATTTTCGTCGGGCACTTCCAATACTGCCGCAGCGACAATCTCGCCGTGGCTTGAGCGTGGCACTGTGGGAGCAGGACGGCGCTACAGCTTTGGCAGATCCTTTGCGGCGAGAAGAGTGGGGCATGGACTTCCGCCACACCCAGGCGTCAGATGCGTCTCATTTTTTCGACGCGACGGATGGCTACGTGTGACGAAAAATGCGAGGCCTGCGCTGCTGACTCTCTCTCTGTGTCTTTGTGTGGTTGCCGCCCAGCACTGCCAGCTGGGACCGCTTCTGCGCATCATGATCGAAGTTGACCGGCATCCACAATCCCGTCTGTGGATAGATCGCACCGTCCACGCTTGTGGCAGATCCCGTGTGCGATGTCAACAAGCCGGCTTCCTCGCCAACACACGGCCCACGAGAGCAGAACAGCACGAGACGACAGCCTCTCCAAGGGGACCGCTTCCTCCCCTCTCCGTAGCAAAGCCAAGTGTACTCACACGCCAAGAAAAAAAAAAGTAGGGTCTTCCGAAGGGATCTCGGATGAATCAGCGAAGGACGCCACACCAGGCCGAACGACGAGGGTCCAGATCTAAAGAAAGCAACAGGCCCGAAGAGTCAGTCGCTCGCTGCTCTGGCCCTGCCAATCACGTCTGGCCCAGGTTTCGGCACTCACCGTGCCAACTGCCGCAGAGACCTCGGGTATCGCAGCTCCTTCGATAGTCCAGCCAGTGGCCAAGGGTGCACGGAGATTTGGAGTCGAGAAAGGAAGGGATCAGGTGCGAATGAAGTGGGATGAGAACGAGAGGCGACGAGCAGTTGAGAACAGGCTCGCCTTTTAGGGGATGTATGCAGTTGGCGTGGGAGAGCCGATCTGCCACCTGCCAAGCAGCGCGCGTCCCCCGGCGTCCATCTGCTTTCGCGACATTCAACGCCTCGCCACTCTCTCTTCACAGACCCTGGCGACCGCACGCCGCACCGCGTCTTTGGCTGAGACGCGGCCATGGCACGTCGCGGCTTTGATTCTCGCCAGCGCAAACAAGCTCTTGCCAGAGCCGGGAACGGTGCGGCGAATGGACAGTCGAGCGGCGGTTCTGACGAAAGAGTAGCCTGTCGCGTCTCCCCAAGGCTGCGTTTCGAGGCGGGGCCGAGACGGTTTGAGTTGGCTGTTGGGTCAGCTGGCATGAGCTAGAGCCTCGACGGTGCGGAGGAGAGCCGAGGCGATAGCTGATGCTTTCTGCAGTCCTGCACGTCTGGAGCTGGCATCCGGCTCGCAAAACGTCGCAGAGTTTGTGGCCAGAGCTTAATCCTACCTGCACGTCAGATCCGGGAAAAGCGGCCGCCAAATCTCGCTCGCTCTCATGCAGAGCGTCGCAGGATCTTGGAGCCCCGTCATCCAGCCTTGGCAGGCGGGCCGAGGCAGCGTCAAGGCTCGGAATCACCGCGAATGTCCCGCGTCAATTCGTCCGCTCAGAATCGCCTTAGGCCGCTGCAGGCAATACGAGAACCAAGGGCGAAGCTTGGATGCACGTTGGAACTGCGAAATTCCGCGGCCAGCAGGCGCAGAGCATCTCGCAATCGCCACATCATCAGGCGGCTCCAACCCTAACTCTCCGGCTTGACAGCTTATCCACTCATCCGCATCCGTACGCCAAGCCAAACACGGACGATCCCCACTACGACCTTCTCCAATGCAGCCCGACCGGAAGGCATGCCAGCGGAGGGATCACACGCCCGATCGACAGTAGAAATTGGGCTTAGTCCGGAGCCAGCCGAGCTAAACCTAGATTTGGGCCCCCAACAAGACTCGATCTGGCGGTATTGCGGTATTGCGGTGCTGCGGTGTTGCTCGGCCAGTCCGCCTTCCGACGGGATGCTCAGCTGTGGGGACAGCTTCCCCCATCTCATGCCGACCTCGTCACGCCATACCGTGCATCACACGAGGATCACGACGCTCACGCAGCCAGCAGAATCCGGCTCTTGATCCTACAAGGTTGACGCAAAGGGGTATCGTACATGGCGCGATGAAATGACTCGAGAAGTGGGGGGAAGGGGGGTTATGCGGTCTTTTCGGCGGCGGCTGCAGCGGTGGTGCCGTCGTCGAGGTTCTTTCCCTCTGCCCACTCGAGTGCGTCTTGGCGTTCGAGGCCGTAGGTCTCTGCGCGCATCTTTGCCGGCGGCTCTCGCAGCGCAAACGGGTTGGGATCGGTCGACTCGAGCGAGGCGAAGGTGTGGTTGATGTGTCGATGGGTCGCCTCGTCCGCACGCACTGCCCGGATGACGTCGACGAGCATGGCGTCGTCCGACAGCTGCCAGTACTGGCGCGCGATCTCGGGTGCGCGCACGTTCTCCCACTCGGGCAGCCTGCCTTCATTGAGATCGTCGAGGATGAACGAGTAGGTCATCACCGCCTCCTCCTCGAGCACGCCCACAAAGCGGTGCGCCACCCGCGGCGAGACCAGGTAAAACACAAAGAAGAAGTTGTAGAACACGCCCTGGGCGAGCAGCGCAAACGTGCGGGCGATCCAGCCGGGCTTGGCGAGCTCCATAAAGGTGAGCAGATGCATGCGTTCGTTTTCGGCGTCCTCGAGCATGGTGTGGATCCAGCCCTTGTCGCGCTTCATCAGACGCAGGCTCTGCAGGTGGCGGCACGTGGCGGCCACCATGCCGGGAACGCCGGCGATGGTCTCGAGAAAGATGATGCGGTTCAGCCAGCCGTCCGGTCCGAAACACAGCCGCTTCTCGCGCATCTCCTGCAGCGTCATGGCGCCGTCGCTCTGCGCGAGCTTGTCCAGGTCCGCACCCGTGCGATTCACCACCGCTGCCGATTCCGGTGCCGCCTCGTCGGCGTTCTTGGCTGCCTTGAGCCTGTGCACCTGGGCCGCGAGGTGCGAGGGCAGGCCGACGGTCTTTTCGACGTCCTGCTTGAGCGGCGGGAACTTGACGCCGTTGTGATCAGGATAGCGCGTGGCGAGGTCAAAGATGGTTCGCGCGGCAGTGCACATGGCCCTCGCTACTTTATCGCCGAACGTCTTGCTCTCGCGGTGGACGACCTTGACCGAGTCGAGATCGTGCTCCGAGTAGATCGGGTGGAAGAGGAGGTAGCTGCCGTCCGGATGTCGGAGTCCAGGGCCGTCAGCTCGGTCCTTGGCCTGCACCGGCTTGCGTGCGGGGGCCGAGACCTGACCGCGCGTGGGGAGCGCCGTGGCGAATCCACGCGACGAAGGACCGGGCGTGGCGAGGATGGGCATGGTGCGCATCGAGGCGAGCACGCGGCCCGAAGGCGTGGCGCGCACGACGCACAGCAGCGAAGAGTTGCCGCCGATACCGACCATTGTAGTAGCTTGTGAGTTGTGGTGGAGTAGATTGTTGGATGTCTTGATGGGGAGGACGGCGGGATGGGGCTCGTTGCTCGGCCTAGATATATGCCCGACCGAGCAACCAAGGCCAGGCGGGTTGGTCATGTGTTGCTCTCTCACCCCGGGGTGGCACGAGCGGCCACCTTGTGCGCCCGAAATCCAAAAGTCGCCGAGGCGAGTCGGGAACGACATGTGAACCCTGCATGCGCAGCCAGCCAGCCACCTGCGCGTTCGGAACGCCTTGGCACGGCTGCTGATCAATCGATTTTCGCGCATCTCCATGGCCCACGCCTGCTCGGCAAAGTCGCTTTTCCGAACACACGCCTCTTGGGCCACTTGGCACTGATTGCGCCAACTCCACGGATCACCCCATCATCCGCTCTCCATCGCATCTCCAGGGGGCAGCAACTCGAGCTGCAATGGGTTCATCGTGATTGGGCAGAGTCAGCCTGGATTCGGCGAAGCCAGGAATCCCTTTCGCGCGCGCGCGCG